GAGAAACATATTTTTATTTGTCCAGGTCAGCAACATCATGGATACACTAAACTTATTTTGGGTTATGAAATGCTTGAGTATTGTCTATATCTGTGTTAAAAGAATAGTGGTGAGGTTTATGGAGGCAATAATTTTATATTTTTTGTTTTGTTTTAAGTTTTGGTTTTGGGTTTCGGGATTTAGATGCAGTTCTCTGGTGGTCAACAAGATTGATGCAGTATCTCATTAGGATTTAGTCCAAAACATGCCTATTGTTTAAACCTTCTTGGACCACTCCGGTTCTGTGCCCTGAAAATTTTTTGGATTGTGATTAATCACTCTAAACTAAAACTGAAAGTCCGAAAATTCAACAAAGAAACAAAAATTCTCATGCAATAGTGTAAAAATCAATTTTTGTTTGAATGTTCTGTGTTCATCAAACTTGAAAGAAAGCAACAGCCAAGGGGAAGGGCCATCATAATGTATTCAAAAATATTGAATGAATTCTGCCTAATAAGCCGGATATCTTGGGTCTTTGAATAGAAAGAAAACTACGTATTTTCTTTATCTATATGATTTCCACTGGGGACACATAAAAGCTAAACCCACCATCGGGGATTATTACGATTCTTTTTCTTCCTTTATGGGATTTCCTTTTTTTTGTATCCAATGAATTGTAAACGTTAGAGCATCCCCAATGGTAGGGATCCTTAAAACATCCTTAAGAATTTTTTAATTGTAAATTTTGACAAATATAAAGTTAAGGATTTTCGTAGGGACTCTTAAAAATATTTATGTCCAATGGTAAGGACCTTAAGAAAAACACAAATTTGGTGTATGGTATTTGAGTTTTGATTGCTTGAAAAGAAAGAAAGAGAAGATAAAGTATACAAGTTTTTGATACATTCTTGATAAACACATTTTGGATAACAAAGATTCATGACAATAATATGACAAAGTATACAAGATTCATTTGAAAACACATCAAAAAAAAAAACTATACAAGAAAGAACATCATCTTCTTCTTGAAGATACTCAGCCTACACTTAGACACACGAACATGGCTAGGACTCTGTCTTGCAGTTCTTGAGGCACTGGTCTTCCTCTTCGTTGTTGTGGTGATGTGCTTGATGTGTGAACCAACGTTTTCCATCTGTTCTGCAAGAAATTACAAAGTTATTGGAGCCATGGGAGACGAATTGCTTCTCACCACACCAAAAGCATTGTACCGTTAGGACCACCCCATCTAGGAGGAAGTTCACAGTTTCTTGTAACAAGAAAAGGTTCTCCATCACCACCACTAGCCACACCATTCTCGTTTCATTATTCCTTTTATCTTTATCCATCTGAAATAACACAAACATACAACCATTTAAGAACTGACCAGAGATCTTAATCACAAACCATGTCTTTAACGAGTAAAAGCATATAGCATACGAGAAACATAGATACAAAGTGCAGAAAGAACAAGAATCACAAGCGACACAACAATGATGATATGTGATGATACAAACTGTGATGATACTAAAGCAAAACATTAAAGCAAACAAAATCAGAAATCATATTTCTCTTAGTAGTTAGGCACAACACAGAGAGTAAGTGGTGATATTGAACTAAACTAGCATAGCATAACATATAGGCCACTGAGAATCAAAACCTAATATACCCATTTACGGAGATACAATGCATAGACGAAAGATGTTAAGCAATTGTATTAGCAGTTCCTAGATCTAAAGCCAATTTTGAAGAAGCTTGATATTTGAGAATCTCTAAAGACCCATAAATACAAACAAGTCAGTTTATTGTCGACCTGCGAATCGAATTCTGGCTATGATGAGTCAAGCTAACCGGATTCGATGGCTCGAGGGGGACGACGACGGATCCACACAAAACTCTTCGGCTTTTCTGCTCCGATTTGATGGTCATGACGCCGGACGATGAAGATCGAGAAGTTTGCATCGTCTTTCGCCGTCGGAGTTTACAAGAAAGGAGAGAGAGAGAAATGAAATCGGGGAAGAAATTTTTTTTTTTTTCTCTGTTTACCAACCAATTAAATCGTGCCACATATGCGTTTCTTACAATTAGAAAAAAACCTAAACTAAGGAACGAACCTTAACTGTTCTCACATTTTTGATTTATTTTTGGCCCATTTTCATAAGGACTCAGTCCTAAAATCTCTGAAGAACTGCCCATTGGGCTTGCTCTTACTTCTTGGGAAAAAAAAAAAAACAAAAAAAAACAAAAAAAACGTTACTTCCTGGGGATAAAAAAGTTACAAAGCATCAAATTCTTTCTTTTCTTGGCTTTTCTGTGAAAGTTGGGTGAGGAATAACACCAAAGAGTGGTTTAGGACGAATCCATATTCTATCCTCTCTATTAAATATTCCAATTTTCCAACTTTCTCGATCTATTGACTTGTAATTATTACGAATCACGAAATTCTAACTCCCAAGCAATCCAACCAACAAAATACATGTGATTTTTATCATTACTTACATGCCTTTTCTTGCCATGTCTAGAACATTTTTAGTATTAAAACTATTCCGTAATTTTTTCTAACACGACAAGAGGAATCACATCATCACGTTACATACATATAACAAAAATCACATCAATGGAAAAAACTCGTGACTCTCTACTCTAATTAAGTCTTTTTCCACAGAGAGTGGGAATAAGATTGATTTGCCTTGTGGATTATAAGTGATGTGAAGGACACGACATGACAGCCTTTCTATGTATTATAATAATGTACTTACATTTATACAAAGAACAAGACGAAAAGCTACACACTGTTACTTGTTGACCAAGGCGTTCACAGCTGAATAAAGCCACCAACGTTGATTTTTATTGATTGATTTGATTCTCTAGAAACAATCAAACGGAAAAAAACCTATCCACACAGATTTCTACTTACATCTCATATACGAAAACCATAAAATCATTCAGATCCTAAAGATACGAATCATTTACAAAAATTCTTAAAGCCAAAGAAAGTAAGTTAGAACAGGATTTTAGATAATTTACATTGCGGAATCCAAGGCTTCTCTCAGGCTGTATGAGTGAGATTCATAGCTTTTCTCAGTCTGTCCAAGATCCCATTTGCTTTCCTCTGTGCCCTTGAAGTTCCTTCACGCGAAAGCTTTGTTATCGTTCCATGAGCATTCTCCTCTTCTTTGATCTCCTTCCACTTTGTCCTGTCGCTGAAACATATAGTATGCAGTATCACTATCGCATTCTCTTTGTTTCGCTTGCACTCGCTCTCTCGAGTTATCTTCAGCAACCAAGAAACCCCACCGAGCTCACCCAATTCCTCCACAGCCTTCCAGTGAGTAACAAGCATTGCTAATATAGCTAAAAGCTCATCGACGTACAACCCATTTGAGATTTTCTTACCTAAAACCCTAACAGCTCCGTCTCTCACAGCTCTACTCCTGTTTTCATGAGCTATACAAAGAGTGAAGATCGCTGCAGCTACGTCTTTGATAGCTAACGGATTCCCTTCTTCTAGGAGATCAATAAGCGGTTTCAGGATTCCGGACTTCCCTATAAGTACTTTGTTCGAATCGAGTGCCGACAGAGTAAAGATCGCCGCAGCTGCATTGCTTCTCGTGGCTACCGTTCCACGCCTCAATGCATCGATAAGTAGAGGAATCACACAAGGATTTTCGCAGACGAGCTTCTTGTTGCTGTCATCATGTATGGATATGTTCAACAATGTTGTGACCACATCCTCTTGAAGCTTCTCATCTGGGTTTGACCCGTGTAACAAGGGATTAACCAACCGGGTGATTTCATCCGGAGATTCACCAAAAAGAGCTCGGAACTCAGTGCCTTTCTTGGTCAGAAGTCTTAGCTCCTTGGCAGCTGAATTTTGATCGTGAAGGTTCGAAGAAGAGACTTTACAGAGCAAGGAATTGAAAATCTCACGATCTGATCTTGTGACAGCTTCCTCTTCATTTACAAGGTTGGGATGATATTGGTTCTTCGTCTCAAGCCCAATCTTCTTGCACCATTTTGAGATCATTTCACGGATTAAGAGATTAGGTGTTAAAGCCGTGTGAGGCAGAACTTGCTGAGTCTTGGGACATGTTCTGTTGCCTGAGCTCAACCATTTCTGGATAAATAACTTGTCGTATGTCTGCAAAACACACACACAAAATAGAAATTTCAATTCAATTCTACTTATATTCAACTTCTGGGGATTTCCAGGAACACATAATTTATCTTCTAAAAATCATTTTTTTAGAATATCAATATCTATCCTACCGACAAAACAAGAACTTTAATGAAATCTGAGTCGGATTGTCTCAGTCGGGTCGAGAAAACAGATGAAAAAGTTTTCAAGCCAATCAAAATTCCCCCAAAAATCCAAAATTTTCAGTCACCAAAATAAAAACAGAAAATTCAAAACCCTAGAAGAACAATCAAATCGGAATGTGACGTTCACAAACCTGACCAGAAGCCAAAACAACAGGATCCCTCATAAGCTCATTAGAGAGAGGACAACGAAACTCCTCAGGACAAGACACAGTCTCGAGCATCTCCAGTGAAGACGATTTCGCCATCTTCCTCATCGTCGCTTCTCTCAACGCAGACAAAGCCTCTTGTAACTGATCAATTGTCTGAACCCCAAAGTCATCTTCATCTTCGATCTTAATCAGCAGCTTCTTCATCTCACGCTTCAGTTCTTTGGCTTTCGCAATCGCCGTCGGATCCGAATCGAAAACACCGGTCTTCGCCATCGCCGTCGGATCCACCGCCGGTATTCACCCAACCCTTCTTCTCAGATTACGTATGTCGAAATTTTTGAATTGATTTTCTCACATTAATTATATTTTTTATTTATTTTGTTTCTGTGTTTGTGAAAGAGAGAGTAATAAATATTATATGAGGAAGAGAGAAGAAGAAGGGCACAAGTGTCGTTGTACTCTAGTGCTTCACTATAATAGAATTGTGGCCTGCACCGAATTCGCCACGTCATCTTATTCATTCATTATTTAGTTATTTACTAAATTAATTCACGAAATTAAGAATTTAAAAGGTTTTAATAATGCAGCACGTATGACCTACCTCGCGACTAAGGTGTCAAAATACAGCCGACACGATTTGTCTCGTACACTCTTACACGTTTACTTATTTCTTGGGTATAAATCCATACACGTTATTGGTAATTTTGTTAGTTATAACATATAGTATTCCCTCCGTTTCGTTTTAGTTGTCGTTTAAGGTTTTTTTACACAAATTAAGAAAAGCATTAAATTTTCTGTTTTATCCTTTATTAATATATTTTATAAAAAAATTTATTGGCCACAACATTAAAACAATAGGGATAATACTAGAATTTTTACCAAACATTTGCATTGAAAACCTAAAACGACAACTAAAACGAAACAAAATTTAAATACTAAAACGACAACTAAAACGAAACGGAGGGAGTAATTGATAACGCATAATAGTTTACCCTAGTGGTCTTCATCTTTCACTTATGTTTGGTCTTGCGAGTTCGAAACCGCTTTCATACATTGTTTTGTAAAATCGGACAAAACGAGATTCTCGAAGGTTTGTGAATAACAGAATATTAATATTTTGACAAAACGTTTACAAGGATCAAAAACTCAAATCTTAAGGCACGGAACCCTTAACTAATCTTTGATCTACTAAATAACTAGTACTCCCTCCGTTTTAAAATATAAGACGTTTTAGCAAAAGCACGCCGATTAAGATGATCTTTTTTTTTAAAGTTCAGCAAATCATAAAAGAGACTGCATAATAAAAATAATCATAAAATATTAAAGTAATATATAATTTGCATAAAAACTTGAAAACGACTTATATTATAAAACAAAAAAAATTCTCCAAAACGCCCTATATTTTGAAACAAAGGGAGTACTGTACTACTGTTTATTGCGAGTATTCGAATTTTGGTTCCTCGCTTGTGATGACTAAATTATTCAACTATTAGACCATAACAACTTTAATTTAAATCGCTATTGTGCAGTACATTTTTGCATTGTTTATACTTTATATCATCGATCATTGCTTGAATCGTTTTTTTTTTTTTTGGTCAATTGATAAATCTATTAGCGTCATTGTTTGAATTGTTGACCCAAAACAAAAACAGACTTAGGAAATTTATAATAATTTCAACAATGTTAATGTCGTAGACTCGTAGTTGTAATTAAAAAACAAATCACCTTTAACGAAAAATGCAACATTAATGTGATACATAACATAGTGGTAAACCAAAAAATCGGAAGTACGGTAATGGTGGCGAAAATTAGATGGGGAGAGGAGTGAGTGTACAGAAAGTGGGACCCGCACAGTTATTCCAACATGGCAACATGGGAACAGCTGTCTTTCCGCGTGGATTCTTTTGTACTCCTCCTCATTTACTCTCTTTCTCTCTCTCTCTATTTCTTCTTTGACGATTTTACCCCTGCCGTTTTTCACACTACTTTTCTTCTTTTTTTTATTTTTTGTTCTAAAATCAATCTAAAAAATATACTGTATAAAAAAACAGAAAAGAAACCAAGTTTTATACTTAGCTTTCTAGGCGTGATTGGATGAAATAAGAGAGTTGACCAAATCTATAGCA